GGATCTGTTTCTTTAGTTGACTGTCCTGTTAAAGTACCTGTCAAGATTTTGCGCGACACGGGGTCTTCAGAATCCTTTATTTTGGACTCAAAATTGAATTTTTCTTCTGAATCTAGTACAGGGAATAGTGTTCTTATCCGAGGAATTGGGTTGGAAGTGTTCTCTGCTCCTTTGCATAAAATTCAGTTGGAATCTGAACTTGTGCACGGAGAAGTTGAGATTGCTTTACGACCTTCATTACCTGTGGAAGGCGTGGATTTAATTTTAGAAAATAATTTGGCTGGAAACCGCGTGTGGCGGGCTGTTGTACCTCCTGTTGTGAAAACAACTCCAACTTTGTCTGCAGAGGGGGATAAGAGCATCCAAGATTTTCCTGACGTTTTCGTCTCCTGTGCGGTAACTCGAGCTATGAGTACCGAAGTAAATGTGTCCCCAAATAAAGGTGAAGTAGAAAAATCTCCGGTTGAACCTTTGGCCAATTTGTCTATGCTTCCTTCATCAATTTCCCATGATGAGTTAATTTTGGCTCAGGGAAAAGATGCTGGGTTGACACTGTTGTTTGAGGCTGTTAAGTCCAATGATGAATTTGAAAGCGTGGCTTCTGGTTATTTTCTGAATAATGGTGTTTTAGTTCGTAAATGGATGCCTTGTAACGATTGTGTTGTGGGTGACCCCATATTTCAAATTGTGATTCCAGAAGGGTTGCGTGATTTGGTGTTGAAAACGGCTCACGGTGATATAGCTGGGCATTTAGGGGTAAAGAAAACCTACAATAGCATAATGTGCTATTTTTTTTTTTTTTGGCCTCATTTAAAAAGAGATGTGTCGAGCTTTATAAAGACGTGCCACACTTGTCAACTGGTAGGTAAACCCAATGAAGTCTTGGTGCCGTTGTATCCCATTCCTGCTGTGAGTAATCCTTTTGAATATCTGACTATTGATTGTGTTGGCCCCTTAAGTCCGTCTAAAGCGGGTTCTATCTATATTTTAACTGTCATGTGTCAGACGACTCGCTATCCTGCTGCGTATCCTTTGCGAACGATCTCCACGAAGTCGGTGGTAAAAGCCTTGTCCAGTTTATTTCAATTTTTGGTGTTCCAAGAATTATTCAAACTGATAGAGGAACTAACTTCACTTCTCGGATGTTTGCTCAAGTTTTACAACTGCGGGTGAATCATCATAAAAGCAGTCCGTATCATCCTGAGAGCCATGGAGCTCTCGAACGTTTTCATCCGACGTTAAAGCAGTTATTGAGAGCATATTGTAACGAACCGAATAAAGACTGGGAAGAGGGACTCCTGTGGTTGATGCTAGCAGCACGCAAAGCTGTTCAAGAGAGTCTTGGTTTCAGCCCTAACGATTTAGTGTTCGGTCATAAGGTAAGAGGGCCCTTGTCTCTTTTGATGGACAATGTGACCGAGTCGAAAATTCCTGAAAATCTTTTGGATTATGTAAATGGATTTTGACGTAGGTTATATTTGGCAGGCAAACTGGCTCGTGAACATTTAGAGAAAGCACTGATGAAAATGAAGACTTGGTTTGATCGTCGGTCCGAACGCCGAGAATTTAGTCCCGGAGATCAAGTTTTAATTTTACTTCCTGTTACTGGGTCATCCTTTTTAACAAGGTTTGCAGGGCCTTACAGTATAATTAAACGGGTATCTGAACAAAATTATATTGTTTCAACCCCGGACAGGAGAAAAGCTTCCCAACTCTGTCACGTGAATTTGTTGAAGCCATATTTCTGTCGCATACGTGAAAACGCTGTCCCAGGTGCTGAAGTAAAGCCTGTGGTGTTAGTTACTGAGGTGAGTAATTCAGGTGTGAAATTTGATTGTACTGAGGGCGAGAGCGTTCCGTCTGCTTGCATTGTTCACCCTCGACTTTGTAACTCTGAACAATTGACTAAACTGGACGTCATGTTTGAGCATTTGCCAGAAGAACATCGTGACCAATTGATCGGTTTGATATCCGAATTCTCGCCACTTTTCTCTAATACTCCCTCATGTACTAACTTAATATATCATGATATCGATGTTGGAGTTTCTTTGCCCATTCGACAGAGGTTTTATCGTGTTTCTCCTGAAAAGCAGAAGTTTTTAGAAGCTGAGGTTGAGTATCTTTTAAATACTGGGCTTGCGCAACCCTCATATTCAAGTTGGGCGTCACCGTGCATTCTGGTTAAAAAACCCAATAGTACGTACATATTTTGTACTGATTATAGAAAGTTAAATAGCGTGACAAAGCCTGACTCTTTTCCACTTCCACGGGTGGAGGATTGCGTAGATTCTGTAGGCTCAGCAAAGTTTGTAACTAAGATTGATCTTTTAAAGGGGTATTATCAGGTCCCTTTAACCCCTCGTGCACAAGAAGTTTCTGAATTTATTACACCATCGGGGCTGTACTCTTACAAGGTTATGAGTTTCGGCCTTCGAAACGCTCCGGCTACCTTCCAGTGCCTGATGAATCGTGTGGTCTCAGGGCTGGCTGGATGGATGTGCCGTGTATCTAGATGATATCGTGGTGTACAGTCAGACGTGGGAGGAACAGCTTTGTGGGTTGCGTGCCTTGTTTACTCGTCTTGTAGAAGCCAAGTTGACTATCAATTTAGTGAAGTGTGAATTCGTGAGAGCTACCGTAACTTACTTGGGTAAAGTAGTGGGACAGGGGGCGGTTCGTCCAGTACGGGAGAAGGTGCGTGCTGTTGATGGTTTCCCCGCTCCTACTATTAAAAAGGAGTTGATGAGATTTTTGGGGATGATTGGATATTATCGCAGTTTTTGCGCAAATTTCTCGACTGTAGTTGCGCCGCTTACTGATTTATTGAAGGCTAAACGTAAGTTTGAGTGGTCTTCAAATTGTCAGCGGGCGTTTGAAAATGCGAAACTTCTGCTGAGCACTGCTCCTGTCCTAGTTGCGCCCCGGTGGGATCGAGTGTTTCAGATCCAAGTAGATGCAAGCCGGGTGGGTGCAGGAGCGGTATTATTACAAAAAGATGACAATGGAGTTGATCGGCCAGTTAGTTTCTTTTCTAAGAAGTTTAACTCGTATCAACTAAATTACTCTACGATTGAGAAAGAAACGTTGGCTTTGGTGTGGGCGTTGCAGCACTTCGATGTGTATGTGGGTGGTTGTTCAATGCCTATAGTTGTGTTTTCAGATCACAATCCGCTCACGTTTTTACAATCTTTGCGAAGTCCTAATCAGCGACTTATCCGTTGGGCTGTATTATTACAGCCGTACAGTTTAGATATTCGCCATATTCGAGGGCGGGATAATGTTATGGCGGATGCCTTGTCCCGTTCTCCGGTTGATGAGTAAAACAAACTGTTGTAAGTGTTGGTTGCCCTTGACCTTGGTTCTTTAATTTTATTGTGTTTTTAAGGCGCCTGAAGATACTGAACAATGGAGTTGGGGTAGGTGATGAAAAGAATGGGGGGTAAGTGACATTTGTATGACAGTCCACAAATTATGACTGTTGGAGGTAAACTTGTGTGATTGTGTATTATTTTTTTTGTTTGGTTTATAGTATTATTTGGGTCTGCAGAGGTCCCTTTTAGGGGCCTCTGTTTTAAGAGGGGAGGTGTTACAGCTCAGTGTGTTCTTTCTAATATTTGTCCACTAGGTGGTGGTGTTCCGTGGTTTTGCCTCTCTTTCAGAGCGAGCGTCAGGTACAGGTGTGGAGTGTTACCTGTGATTGGCGTTTGGGTTTAAAAGACGGAGATTCAGAGAGCAGTGGAGACCTGGACTGGGCTGCCGTTCATCTTCCCTCTCCAGCCCTGGATTGTTTTCTTTTGTTTGTTTGTTTCTTTCTTTATACTCATACTTAACTTATTTGATTTATTCTTGATTAAATGTTTATTTGTTAAACTTAAGTCTTCTGTGTGGCCTCCCCTTTTTGTAATGTTACTTCACCCAGAGCCAGATGGTTGTAACATGGGGCCACAACGCTTATACTCATGTAGGTGGGGTGGGGTCAAGATGCACAGGGGGCCACACAGGGGCCAACAGAGAAGATTGGTCTGGATCTTTTGCGCAAAAGAGAAAGCAGTGTTCTCTCAGCGATCAGTTGTATGACTCCCATCATAGTAGACCACCAACATCCAGCACCAATGCTGCGGAGAACAATCTGCCCGTTGGTGCTGGTGAAGAGCATGAGATGCCAATGAGAAAGAAAAGGAGGACAGAGAGTTTTGAGAAGCTGCTGTCTCTTAAATCCATTAAATGGAGCAGTGGCTTAGACCAGGCAATGATATAGGAGAGATAAAGTTGAAGGTAAACCAAATGACCAGTTGGGAATGTGTAAATGTTTTCTGTTTACTAGAGCTCTGTACATAAAAAAAAAAAAAATTAAGATACGCTGCAGCTAGATATGAGTACCCATTATTGGAAATCTAATTCATGAAGTAGGGGGATTTTTCTGTTCCCAAAGCTTAAGTGTCCTTAACTGCCGTATGTATGTATATATATATTTACAATCATATTTTATTTCAAAATCCAAAAATTCGGCGAGTCATGGTACCATTTTTTTTTTTATTGCAGGACATATCGTAAATCTTCGAAAAATATGAAACATGGTTTGAAGAAGTTTTAATTTTAGATGTCATGTAGTACCTGAAAAATGGTCATAATATGAGAATGCAATATTAAATTATTTGTTTAAAACATACTTTTGTTTGTTATTCCCGTCTTTAGGTCATATTTCTCTGCAGTCCATTTCCTGATCTGTAGAGGATCTAGAGCAGTGGTTCTCAACCTTTTGGTCCAAGTGCAAGTCTCACGGGCCGCACGCATATTATTTACATATTATGTCACCAATACAAACCAACCAGATTGATAACATTACAGCCTAAATATTATGATATCTAATCGATTACATTCATTCAAATAAATAAATAAATAATTCTACTCACCATTAATAAAACATCTGATTGCAGAAAATGTGCGTTCACAAACGTAGCCTATGTTGATCCAAATATGAAAATCACTTTCGAATTTAATAATCTGAGGTTCTCTCCAGAGATGTTTTCCCACATTTCTGCAATTAAGGATGATTGCTGCATAGTATGGGTGTTTCCTTTGCGGCCCGCGGGTTGAGAACCACTGATCTAGAGGAACCTCTTTCCAGTGATCTTGAAGACCCTCCTCCTGCAGATCAGCAGGTTCAAAGCCCTCCAGCTTCAGTCCACCACAGCCATAGCTCACAACAGCAGAGTGGACTTGACAACAGAGGGTAAGTTTACTGCCCCAAACATTACACACAATACTGTCAATGTTTGACACTTCATGTCATCTATAATTGTAAATCTTTTAACAGATGACATTCTGAGCTGGTATGAAATCGGCAAAATGCTTGGTGAGGTAGGATTCGGCTGCGTCTATGAAGGGAAACGCTTGGAGAATGGCCTTGAGGTACTGTCATGTTCTTACAATATTTAACTCCATTGTTTTGTCTCACTGGTTCCATTGTAAGTCATCTCAGTGTATATTAGTGCTCTTGCCATGTTGTAAATGCAATAAATGTTTATTGTCGTTCAGGTGGCAGTGAAAATTGCCAACAAGCCAAGGAACATGAAATACATCTACGTTGTAAGTAGGCTATGCTCACTGAGCAAACATACTGACAACATTTTTGTCCAAGACTGGACTAAAGTCCTTACTTGGGAAAGCAGTTCTATCTAACAATGATCTTTCCTCTAGCCTGGTCATCCCGCACCCCTTTCGTTAGAGGTCTGCCTTTTACTCCTTGTTAATAAGGAGTCCAGAGTTCCAGAGATCATTCAGCTGCTAGACTGGCAGGAACAGCCTGAACGTTACATCATGGTCTTGGAACGCCCGTCACCCTGCAAAGATCTGTGGGATTATACGATGCTTCAGGGAGGCTTCGTCAGCGAGGACACAGCACGGTCTATCATGGCACAGGCAACAAAGGCCCCGCTCCCAATACTCCAACGAGGAGTATTTCACCGGGACATAAAGCTGGAAAACCTCCTGATCAACCTGCAAGACTCCGGCTATGAGCAATGTTGTGGTATGTATCATGCATCACACCTGTAGTTTGGGACTTAACTTCAAGTAAAGAGTTTAATTGGTATCCTGTAAACCATATCTCGCTTTTGAAGCAGCATTTAGTTTTTTTTGTTTTTGTATTTAATAAAACCAGATTTTTTTTTTACAGTGAAAATTTGTAGTATTTCAAGCTTACGTCAAGGCAAAATCTCTTTTCTTCAGGCACACCAGAGTACTGCCCACCTGAGTACTACGTGGACCACAAGTACCACGGGAAACCAACTACTGTATGGTCTCTGGGAATGCTCTTGTTCTTGTTGGTGTGTGGAGACTTCCCAGAACCCAAAGACACAGAGTTGGTTGATTACGGTGTGTGGTTTAAGCCTGATTTGTCGACTGGCAAGTCATCACAACAAAGAAGACCAACTGTAATTGAAATCATGCAAAACAAGGAAGAGGGAGAAGTAACACCCAAGCCAAGTGGCTGTACTGATTGTACAGTGTAGAATGGTCAGATCTTACAGCTTAATACAAAGAGTAGTTTAAGGTAATAATCTGACTCTCTCATCTCTTCCTCTCTTTCAGAATGCTGCCACCTGATTCGGTCCCTGCTGAATGAAAGCCCAAACCAGCGGATTGATTTGGGGGAAATCCTTTCACATGAATGGTTTAAGGTACTACGCTACAAATGATTTAGAATATATATTTAGATTTTCTTTTCCCCTAAAAATTCATTTTTTTTTTTTTTATATAATAATGTTTGTTTATTGTGACGAGAAGAAATCTGAAGCCAAATTTATTTTCTAATTATAATGTACAGTATGTAGACAATAACCCTGATTTCTGTACTTTATTTTTTGGTCCAGGTTTAGAGCCTGCTGTCTGCATGGTCCCTCAATGCCTTAGCATGCCAAACCCTGGTAGCATTTGGCGCCTTGGTTTGAGCCAGTAATATCTGTGTCTGGCAGTATTACTTGCATATATGGTGACCCCTTATGTAAATGTAATGTAAATAGTATTTTAAAAATGTTAATTATTATTTTTATTGTTGTTGTTGCTATTGTCATTATACATTTATCATTATTAAAAAAAATATATATAAATACATAACTTTTTGGCTGACTTTTTGTTACCTCTTTTCCACCAAAATGGTGTCTGTAATGGTGCCTGGTTCTGAAATGTAGTCAGAGTATACGGAAACTACAGAATACATGGAACACTTTATTTTAAAATAAAGTATTGTTTTTGGTAACACTTTACATTAAGGTTCCCTTTATGAAGGGTTTATAAAGATGTTCATAAATGACTAATAACTAATTTACAAATGCATTACAAATAATTCATAAGCAGTTATAAATGGATGAATAAAAAGGGTGATTTTAATGAAATACTTGCCAAATAGTGAGCCATTTTTAACTCGCATGTTATAGATGCTTAATAAATATATTTATATATACTTAATATTACTTCGTTACATTACACCACTGGAAATAAGTATTTTTTGGGAGTATCTGTACTTTACTGAAGTTTTTATATTTCACTACATTTCCTAATTAAAATTTATACTTTTACTCCGATACATTTCCCCGAAGCATATTCGTTACTTACTACAAAATAGTCAGAAGAACACGGACTGCAGGAAAGCAGATTTACGAATCAGTGGTCTGGCGTCTGCAAATTAGGCTCCTAAAAACACCTTTGTTCATGTGCAAACAAGTGCGCACACAACCGCGGATGATTCATTTTCCAATCAAGTTGAGTTTGGGGCATGCGATACAGCATCGTCTGTGATAATATGGTAAGTGTTGTTGTAATGATGTGCGATCTGACATTATCAAGTAGGCTATATCACCAAATCACACACGGAGTGCACGCACGTTGATTTATTAGTCTGTTAAAACTCAATTCATTCAAGGCATTCGAAATTGTAGACGGCAAAAATGCTTCTGTATGCTTTTTATATTTATATAATTTAATATAGTTAACTTAATCTATATCACACAGAGTACCGTTTTTCTGAGATATCAGCAGATATCAGCATGAACACATTTAATAATTTTATACAAGTTCAGTAAAGCAATAAGTGACTTACATTTTAGACATAATATTGCTTGTTTTTGCTAACGAAAATAGTTCCAAACAAAAATCACAGTACTGTTTTGCATCTCTGAGCAATGGACGGCTTTTACTTATTGAATGAATCAGCTTTTTGAACTAATCAGTTGAATAAGTCACTTGCTGTCACCTACTGGCGGCTTTAATTTCACATTTCGACTATTTTTTTTCATGTTTTAAATTATTTCAAATATCAGTATTCAACGTTTTATGTTAAAAACAAAACATTAGGCCTATTTATGCATCTGTAAACCATAAAGTGTGTAAATACATCTAAATGCTATTTCAGCTCCAGATTCCAGAAATGTTTTCTTATGTTGGAATGAAAGACACTAAGTACCGGA